AAAAAAAAAAAAAAAAAAAAAAACAAAAATAAAAAAACGTACATGTAATAATGATTAGTAATTTGATCATATGTGTAAATGATCATAGTAATTTGAGCACCGAAAAAGTATGAATTAAACACACGTGGCATAGACACGAACAGAACTAATAAGAAAGAAAAAGGAAGGAAGAAAAAAAGTAATAGAACAGAAAGAAAAAAGAAAAATAGAATAGAATAAAATAAAATAAAATAAACAAAACCAAACGAACTCTGTAAAAGAAAATGAAAAAAAAACGAGATAAAGAGGGGCATAAAAAAAAATAATAAAAGGACGCATGATATATATATATATAGTAATACAACAAATTGTTAACTGGGGGGGGGTGAGGGTGGTTGTAAAGACGAGGTATACTCATCGGTAACGATAAATGTGTTATAGGAGGTAATAAACTCTAGCTTTGAAAAAATTAACGTTATGCCATATATGTGATTGTTGGTGTGTTGTGTGTAAAGTTGCCTAATATATATAATAATAATAATAATTAATAATAATTAATAGTAATAATAATAATAATAATAATAATAATAATAATATATACTAATAACAGCGGTTAATTAATTATAAGGCCAATTGATCTTGTATGTGCCATGATAAAAGTTGTATATAAGTAACGATATTTCGCATAACTTCGAAGCCGAGCAGATTTACCGATGATTATCGTTAGACTTTCCCTTTTTTATTTTTTCATTAGACGAGCCTAACGATTAAGCGTTGTCCTCGTTCTCTACTTATATATTTGTTTATCTTTTTTCTTCCTTTCTTTATTTTCTTTACTTTTTTTTTTCTTTCGTTACACTCGTGAACGCCGTATGATGAAATAATTAAATTTTTTAATTAACACAATAGATATATAAACAAAAAAGCTACTAAGATATTTCTAATACCGGCCATTTAAAAAGATACATTTTTTAATTGTAAGATTTCTTTTTTTTTTTTTTGTAAAGTATAATAATAATTAATTAAAAAAAAAAAACATTGTTGAGAACTTGGACATCGTACGTTAATTAAGTACATTGAAAAAAAAAAAAAAAAAGTAATAAACGCATACGATATTTCATTTTTTGATTCGTTTTGATAAAAAAATCGTTGCTGCTGTTTTACGTAAGTCCGCTCGCTAAAGAAAAATACGCCATTAATTATTAATAAACAAACGATTATTATTTATCGTTTGATTGTGATTTAAACACTTTCTTCTTCTTTGTTATTTAAAACGAGAGCGCATTTTCTTCACTATTTTCTTCTTCTTTATTTTTTTTTCTTTCTTTTTTTTTGTTTTTCTCTTTTTCTTTTTCTTTTTTAATAACATAGTCAATTCTAGTGAGAATATCCTTTTGCAAAAAAAACGCATTTCTATACGTAGAAGTACCTGCCTGATATGCGTCGTGACTTGTGTGCCGACTGCCAAATATTATTAAGTGAAATTAATTAAATTAAGGTCCGACATTAAACTCAGACCGATATAATTGCAATCATCATTGCAACTTTTAGTGTCGATAATACATATACATGAATAATAAATGATTGTAGTTACTTACAATACATCGATAATAATCAATAATCCTCATATCGATTAATGATAATACAATAATAATAATAATAATAATAGTAAAATAAAATAGTATATATCTAATAATAATAATAATAATAATAATAATAATAACGTTAATCAGCAGCGCGGTAAAAATGGACATAACGATAATAGTGATTCGAAGAAACATTATTAGCACAGACATTAATAAAAAAAAAAAAAAAAAAAAAAAAAGAAACACTTGTGCCAGGATTTTCATCGTGATGACACAACACATAATATATATATGTGTGTGTGTTATACAATAGGCGATATTAAACGACCTTTTATAAACGATACTTTTTTGACTAGGCTCTAGGTTTAGTTTGTCGTGTATAGGTGTATTTTAATATTGTTTTTCGTGTGTACATATGTGTAAGATGTAAAAGTGAGGAGGTGAGATAATATTACAAACAAAAACGACCCGTGCTCGATTTTGTTCTCACTTTGTTAGTCATGTCGTTATCAAACGTGTGTAGATTAGTCGTTAGCCTTGGCATAAGTACATTGATTAATTAAAGACACCTCTTTGGTAACTTAACGCGAAGCATCATCAGCACGTGAAAAATATTTTCATTTCATTTTCTTGAAGCGGCGTTGTCTCTTCTGCGATGTTGCACACATGTCTTCTCTTTTGTAATATTTTATATCTTAAAAAATAATTATAAGTAATGCTGGATGCTTCGCTCATTTGGTTTGACGCATATAAATTGTATCTGTTACGTATATGTTGTTTTTTTTTTTTTTTTATAAATGTTCTTCTTGTATGTATTATATATGTATATGCGAGCGTGTGCGCAAATGCACATCTATAAACACATTCACATAATCATTCGTAAAACGCGCGCGTTTAGGGAAAAGACGAATATTCGAATGGTGGGACGAAAACGCAAAAAGTGGTGTATTGCATTTGAAAAAAATTGCCGGACACAAACAACGAATAGATTTATAGGGGAATGCCAAAATTCATTATCGTCATTATTTTTCTCTCTATTATCATTTATATTTGTTCTTTTTCTTGTTTCTTCTTCGTCTTCAAATTGTTGTTATACGAGAGCATAATTTTGAAGAAGGAGAATGTCGATAATCGAATTATTTATAATCTCTTAATTTTTAAATTTAATTAACCCTTAATTAGACGCGCTTGAATTTTTCTTTCAAAAATATTTATTATAGTTTTGGTCTTGTTATATTCATTTTATTTACATTTATTTAATTTTTTTTTTTTTAAATGTGTATTTTAATTAAAAATGATGTTTGACGATTAAAAATTTGTCTTCAGAGATGCGCCTAATATTGGGTTGAATTTTTCACGAGTGATAAATTTGAAATATTTTCTTTAAATTCCAATACGAGTTACGAGATCTTTGAACGTGACGAAGATCGATAAAAATGTAATTGAACGATACGTGAGCGTTCTCGATTGCCCCACACTTTCTTTTATTATTTTTTCATTTGTTCGCTCTAACTGTCGTATTTGTTAATTTATTTATTTATTTTTTTGGTTATTTTTCCCTATCAGGCCCTTAATTGCACAGCTTTTTATTTTATTTTTTTTTTATTAAAAAGCGATTCCTAGTTCGGTCCTACGTAATATGATACAGTCTTATCACAAAAGTCAATTACAAAATGTCTCTTACATATCTCTGTTCTTTGTTCTACAATTTACCACTTCTCTGCTTTATTTCTTCTTTTAGAGTATGCGTGTGTGTATGTGTGTCTTGTATTACACGTAAGTTAGTGTAAATGCGTGTAAAAGTGTATTTCTGTGTGTGTGATATATTTTCTTTCTTTCTAAGGTTTTAATCTTCTTCTTCATTATCTTGATTTTTTTTTTTTTTTTTGGTATATTCACAAAATTTGAATACATAACGCGCAACAAGTTCTCTCACACATCAAAGAATCCAAACGAACAAGACACGACATTATTCTCAATGTTGGGTGTCTCTCTTCATCCCCTACCCCCATGTTTTTTTTTTTAGATCAACCCTTACACACTCACCTACTCTTTCTTCTTTTCTTTTTTTTCTTTTTTTCATTTAAATTTATAATTTTTCTTTTAGTTGTTGGTTTGGATTTTTTTTTTTTTTTTTTAATATTCTTTACACATCTACTATCTATCTAAGTATGTCCAAATTGCCGGCACGTATGTATACAAACAGCAGGTGTTTTTTGACACCAACGACGACGGCGACCCCGACACTGAGCCGATAAAAATAAATCTCAGTCAACGATTAATATACATAATAATATATATGTATATATATATATATTTTTAATGTATTTTTTTCTCGCAAAGTTGCGTCCTATCATCCCCTCTTACATTTCTTTTCTCTAATCTAATTTTATTTTATCCTTTCAAGTAACAGGTCCATAGAGAATTTGTTTTTGTTCAAATTTATCGCATAACGGTGAAGAAGAAAAGTTGTCACGATGATGATCTTCATCACTTATGATTTTTGTTCTCTTCTTAGTTAGACTTCAAATACGTGAAATAAAATACGTTGTGCAGTTTGTATGTAAAAGTTTACATAGTCATTTTTTAGAGAAGAGGAAAAAAAAAATAGTCGCAGATTTGTTTCTTTCAAATACGAAGAAATCATACGAAATTATACTGGTTGGTAGTAGGATGATGTTTGGGCTTCGTTTCGGTCTCTCTTAATTTTCGAAATACGATGTGTTCCTTCCTATTTTAAGAAATCCCCTGTCTCTCATCTGTCTTCTTGGTCAAATTGTAGATTAATAATTTTCTTCTTCTTTTTCTCACTTCCTCTTCATTTTCTTATCCCCGGGTAATACACTTTGTACTGTACAGGAAGTTTCAAAGTCTTGACGATCAACAACGAGGATTCCTTACATTTTTTTTTTTTTTAATCCGAGAACGTTTAAAATCGCTACGGTGGTGATTTGCGCGTTAAATTCGCAGGCACAGGCACACACAGTTGAGTTTTTTTCCCTTTTTCTATTTTTCTCTCTCTCTCTCTTTCTTTCTCTCTTTTTCTTTCTCTTTCTCTTTCTCTTTCCTTTTCTTTTCTTTTTTTTCGGTGAAGGAGGACCATATTTTCAAAGGATAAGAATGGGAAAAAGTGCGGGAGTAGAATTGACTTCTTATTTGCCAGGAATTTTTGTTTGGAACAATGATGGTGGCCAGTTAATCTTAGAGAGAAAGATGGGATTTGTATAAATTTTTTGTTCTCTTTTTTTTGGTTTGTTTTTTTTTTTGTACAGGCAGCGCACCGACAGACACAGAGAGACCGATCGAGAGATTGACCAAGAAGTCGTGACTGATTTTAATCGACTTGTGGTCGTCGATCGAAGACGATCATCAATCGATCGATCGATCGATCGACCGATCGATGGATCGATCGATTGATTGATTGACTGACTGACTGAGTGACTGACTGATTAACTGACTGACTGACTGAGACTGACATGGCACGGCGACTCCGATCGAGTGTACACGGTCACAACGTCACAGGCCACCTGCTGGCACACAAACAAACACACGGACAGGTTAGTCACCACCACACACCAGATATGTAGGATATATCCTTGGATGCTAGATGCACGTTGGATAAATCGTACCTTTTTTGGGCCACGCAAAGCGGACACTTTCTCTTCGATTCGATCATTTTTCTCTTCCCCTCTCTTTCGATCATATTAGAAAGAGAGAGAGATAGACAGAAAAAAGAGAGATAGATAGAAAAAGACACAGACAAAAAAAGAGACAAGAAAAAAAAAAGAAGAAAAGGGCACACAAGCTATCTCTAATCAACTAGCTAACCATTCAAGTTTTCTTTTAGTTAACACCTCCTCCTACTCCTACTTCTCCTGTCATAGTTTCCAAGAGAAAACCAAAAAGGCTAGCTTAGCTGCTAGGATTACAAATGCCCATTTGCGAAGCCTTTTAAGAGGTACGAAAACACACCGTGCATCGTGCACACAGGTATAAATACTACGTCCGGAAAACCGTCCTAGTCGATATTTTTAGACTTGAGATGCAATTACGATCGAGGACCCAAAATTGTTTTTATTTTTTTTTTTTTTTTTAGTTTTTAGTTTTGACATCGCGATTGTATTTGTTCTTCCGTTCGTGTACGTTCGTTCGTTATTTTGTATAAAATTGGTATCGTAATAATCCATAAAACGTGTTACGTGTTTTATACAAAAACACAGACACACATATACACACACATATATATGTACAAACATATTTGAGGCCTCGTTCTCATCTCATTCTTCTTACCGACTTAAAAAACATCAACGTTCGCCAATAGTTCTCACGAGTATGATGAAAAATAAACTTTGGTTGAAAAAAAGGAAGGTTCGATAGTATACACTCGTACCATCCCTTTATTTGATAATAAATAAAAAAACAAAATGGTTTTCATCTCTTCTTACACGAATTATATATTATTTACATCTATTTATTATTTTATATTAGAACGTGTGAGAACGATAGACGACGATAATGTCGTTGTTGTATTGTACGTGACGACGGTAATCGGCATTCCGAAAACACATGGCAAAATTGTTAGTCTTAACTAACTAATAGAAGCGTACTAGTAGCGTGAATTGATTTGATTAACCATATACATAAGTAAATGCATTTTTTTTTTTTTTTAGTGAATAATATCATAGCGAGAGATCGGCGGGTATGCATCGAGGAATCTTTGTGCAACCCAAATAAGAAACGTTCACGAAATTGGTTCACGACGTGCGTATGAGACGAATCGAGAGACAAAATAAAAAAAGAAAAAAAAAATTACGAGAAAATTAAAATAGGAGCTTGATTTTGTTTTTTTTTTTTTCATTCCACGAATTTATGTTACTAACGGACGTTGCGTGAAACTTTTCAAAGCGAAACTATATACGTATATATAATATATATAATATATATATANGCGATCAATATTATATATATAACATTGATCGCATTTCTATAACTTCTTATGAAAAATATATATATGTTATGTCGTCGTATATATAATATATATAATATATATATATATATATATATATATATATATATATATATATACATATATATATGTATTAGTGTATATAGTTGTCTACAAAGCCGTATATGTTGCATAGAATGTGTCAGTGGATATGTGTATGTGTGTGTGTTTGTGTCTGTTAGTAAACTTCACGTACGTAACTTCACTTTGTGCAACGGAGTTAGCACAGAAAGCTTTAAACTGGCAGCCTTTTGCAACGAAACGAGTTTGATTACACAACTTAGAAAAGAGGGAGGAGGAGGAGGAGGTGGATGGCTAGGGGAGGGAGGGGTGTAAGGGAGTTTAGAATGAATGGGAAGAAGAAGAGAGGTACCTTTCGTTGTACCTTCGAAACGCGTTTTGATACAATAAATAACAAAACTTACGACAAATATATAATATATATATATATATATAGATAGGTGATCGTTAAAGTAGATTTGTTTTACAAGATTTTTTATACTTTGTTTTTTTTTTTTTTACATAAAAAGTATACGCGTGTATACGTCCTGCGAATAATTAATTAAATAGTTGTATCTTTTTATTTTTAATCACATTTTCAATGAACTATTGAACATTTCTTGACAACGATAGCAACGCGATCATGTTAATTCAATTTATATATATATAGTTATATATAGGTATATGTAGGTATATGTATGTAAGTATACATATATGTGCGTATGATTACGAAACAAAACGATTAAAACACACGTTGATATAAATATAAAATATATATATATTATATAAAAAATAGGACGGAATATATAAAGATAAAGAAAGCTAATTGTAAGTTATACGTAATTTTAAGTTAGTACGTTTATGCATATATATATGAATATATGTACATGTATACGATAGTAAACAAAAAGAAAAAAAGAACTAATTTTAGAAAAAAAGGACGATACTTAATATTTTTCGATCATAAAAAAAAGAAATAAGAAAAAAAAGAAACTTCAAAGAAAAACAAGTCTTTTCGATTATCACAGCTTCGTTAGAATGAAAAAGGAGGATGAGGAGATTGGTGGTGGTAGGTAGCCTGGTGGCGAAGGGGTTGATTGGTTGAGTGGTTTGAAGTTGGGAATGAAAGTAATGGGAGGAGGAGGAGGAGGAGGAGGAGGAGGAGGAGAGCCTAGCTTTGATCTATAAGTGAAATAAACGATACGACCGAGCGACGCCGGGTAAGTCGTTGTTTCTTGTACACCGTACGTTATAATCTCGTAACGTTCGATTTTCTTCTATAAATACTGTTTGAGACTAGAGGATCGTACGTGTTGTGTTCTGCACGTCTTCCGAACGAGGAAGAAATACTGTTTTCCGATAGCTCCTTCGTAATCGTAACGACGGCGGCCCTGTATTGCCTGAGAAGTCGAAAAAATGCCGCGTAAGAAGAAATCAAGTCGCTCGTTGTTAATTTCGTGATTGTTTTTTGATTTTTTTTTTGTTTTCTAACGATTTTTAACTCAAAATGTAATAATAAACACGCGCGAATATAATATAGATATATATATATATATATGTAATATACTATATATATTATTACGAGTCCGAAATTGATATTATTATGAGAGAGAAAAGAAAAGAAAAAAAAATACTATATATATATATATAAGATTTAGCTATATAAAACGATATATAAATATATGTATATAGTAAGACTAAAAGCTTTGTTGAAAGATTATTTTTTTTTTTTTAATCATCATCCAAGTCCTTGGGTATCTACCTACGAACGTGTAGTACGAGGATGATGTCAACTAGTACGGCTTAGAAGCATCCTTGGATCGTTTTAATTGAACCTTTAATCGCTTCGTGCCGATTTGAAAACCATTCATCGCCTGGATCGCTGCTTGCGCGCTCGCCGAATTGTCGTACGATACGAAACCTGAAATTTTTACAAAAAAATATATATATATATATATATGTATAGAAATTTATTTTCGATTGAATTTTTTTGTTTTTAATAAATAAGTTAACCCTTATTAGTCATAAAGTTAACCTTAATTAATCTTTTGGTTAAATAGAGATCTTTATTAAGTCTTTTTTTTTTTTTACAAAATTAATTGTAATTTTGTAAATAACAATTTACAAATTGTATTTTACAATTTTAAATAAAACACACACGTATATTGTAAGTTACGTGGGAAGTGGTTTACAAATAAAAAATATGTTAATATTTTTTTTATTATTTGTATTATTATATATTTTTTATTGCATAAAATATAATGCTTATTATTTGTATTATTATTTTTAATTACACAGTATATGTGTAATAATATTTAAAAATAATTAAATAATTAACAATTTTATATATTTGTAGTTCTTCTTCAAAAAACATAAATAATTTTCTAATAAATAATAAGTTATTTTTAAAATATTGAACAATTTTGTTGCATATTAACCGAAATCACTTATAACTTATTATAGTGATGAATCATCAATATAAAACCTGACGACTGATAAGGGTTAAATTATATATATGACATAATATATTATTTTATTATTATTATTATTATTATTATTATTATTATTATTATTATTTAAAAAATTTTCAAACGAATTTCATCCAACCCCTTAACTCTTCTTCTACTACTCGTGGAATTTGTTGCAACTCACCGAAGCATTTGCTCAATTTCGTCTGCTTATCGATGAAAACTTTGGCGGATATGACATTGCCGAAAGGTAGAAAGGTAGAAGCGAGATCGGTATCGCTAAATTCCTGTGGTAGGTGGTAGATGAAGAGGTTACCACCTTCGGGTCCCTCGATTTGCTTGCCCGCGGCATTGAAACTCGAATTTTGTGCCGCCGCTGCTGCTGCGGCCGCTGCTGCCGTGAATGCCGGGAACCCTGAAATAATAAAATTCCATTAAATGGATGTCACATAGTTAGTGTTTTATAATATATGATAATACTATATCATCATTGTCTTCGATCGTAGTCGTGTAGAACATGACAGGTTATATTTTTACGTTCTTTTTACGACGTTTCTTTGAGCTACGCTTCGTCGTCTTGAAAATAGACAAGGATTCAACTTCAACGATCAATTCAAATTCATGAAACTTGGTACTCTAAACAAAATGCATAGGAAAGTATTATACTTTCGGTTTTCTCTTTTAATTTTTCCATTCTTATTTTTTGGGGTTTTTTTTTTTATTCAAAAAGACGAAGTATATATCTTGAAAGTCGACAGACTATTTCACGAACACAATTTCTCATGTACTGAAGCTTTAGCTTTATCTAAATTGTCCATATAGATTACTCGTTCGAATAAACGACACTGGGGCCCTGGTGCATCGGCATAGAGTCGTTTTATTCGCTCGGAAGTGAACCAGATGGACGTCTAAAAATACTGGAATAGCGCATGACGGAGTGTACTGCACGTTGTTTTACACTTGCTAAGCGTTGGGCAATTCTACTCTTTCTGTATTCTTTGTATATAAATATATATATATATATTTTTTTTAAATTACTTTTTGTGTTTATATTTTTTAGAGATTTTCTTTTTTTAGATTTTTTTACTCACTATGCAATTCTTTCTTTTCCACGGTCACCGTCGTCTTTCCAATGAGAGCTTTAATGCGTACAGTTAACTCGTTAGAAAAAAATGCACCTTTACGATCAATGCAGATTATAATATTTACATGTATATATAGATGTATATATATATGTTACACACATACAATGTTCTCTTGTCGTTTATCACGTCACGCTTTTAGAACGAATCTAAAAATAATTACCTGCGTATTGCTGCAAGCTCGAATAAGCGTTACTCAGAGAATCCTGTAGTCCGTTCAAAGGTGCTCCTGTCAATGAATTAAGCGCGAGTGACGTCACAGGACTCAAGCTACCACCAGTCGACCCTTCAAAAATCAATTAAAAATTTTTTTTTATTTTTCAGTTTATTTTTTATTCACAAAATAAAAAAAAAATAAAAAACATGTTAATCGTGCTTTCAAATCACTCGGCCTTTTTAAATCGAGGATAAAGTAATAACTTTCTAAACATGCTGCATGCTTTAAAACGTCGAGACAACCTTTACAAATTAATTCTTTGTTAACCTTTAGCGATAATTATTTTTTACTTCGGGGTGAATAGATATATTTATATATAGATACAGTTAGAGACAGAAATATTCGTACTTTTAGGAGACCCATCGTCAATTTAGAAATAATTGATATTCAATTTTAATGTAAAGTTTCAAATTTTTTTTCTATGTAGAAAACACAATAACTTTCAAATTGAATTCAGAAACATAACAACACACACACACAAACACACATACACACATATAAGCAAATATTAATTGTTTTAAATTGACAAGTCAGAGTACGAATACTTCTGGGACATCCTATATACATGTATCGGATTAGTCGTAAAATATGATACGCATACGACATTCTATTTCTACTTTGATCATGGCCAATACTTTGATTACTATTGGTCTATGGCTTTTTTTTTTATTTCCTTTTTTTTACACAACGAAAAATGGGTTATTAATTTGGTGTACGTTGAGCATTCGTTAATTGCAATAAGCTTGTATAAGTTACATACGTCCATGACTGTACATTTTGAATAAATATTCACCATAATATAATCATATATATATTTGTGTGTACGTGTATCTGTATAGAACATCATATATATATATTTTTATATATAAAATATCGTACGCGGATTAATAAGTTGTTATTACAATTTGAAATAGGTGATATGTGTGTGTGTATGTGTGGTATATTGCAGGTTATTGGAAAAGGTGTTTTTTTTTTTTTCAAAATTATACTTCCATGTATATTAAATAAATTTGTATGATTGTTTTTTTATGGAACGTTTGTTTTCAGACCAAGATGAATTTTTGTTTCTTTTTATTCCTAAATAATATGCCATTAATATACCACCATTGTCGATGAGAAAATAAAAGCGAATATAGTGCGAGTAAGATTATAATTTGCACACACAAAAAAAAATAGAACAGAACGGGTTATTAAAATTGAGGACAAGGTCTATAAATATACAGGTAAAATTATAAATATTGTAATAATAATAATAATACGAGCAATATGCAATATGAAGGAAGATAAAGGATTATTTGAGCAAACCAACGAAGTATATAGACGAACAACGAAATAATATCGTTTTTCGTGAATTCTCACCTGTACTTCCTGTCTTCCCGAGAAGGGCAGCTAAGCACGGAACAAAAATGTCTATCGTTAAAATACTTTCGATTTTGTAATTAATTGATAGATTTTTGTGTGTGTGTACGTGTTTTTATACATATATATCGAAAAAAAAAAAAAAACAAGAAAAAAATATAAGATTGAATTTTTGGTTTGGAATATTAAAAAAATCAATCGAAAAGTAAGTAAATGACCATTCATATTGAATGATTTATAATTGGGTCAATGATTGTGAGGTCATAATGAATAATAGTGTAACACGGTCAGCAATTGACAGTAATCGTTCTCGCGGTTTTCTCGGTAGTTTATAAACGCACCTATGTGTGTGTCATTGCTATCGATAATTTCATGAATTGTAGGAAAATTCAATTTCTTCCCATTAATCGATTAAATTGAAATATTCGTTTGACATCATGTAGTCGTAATAATCGACGTGTATATTTTCACGTTACTCCATATTCACCGTTCGAATTCACGAGATAGTTCAACGTTGAAATTGAAACGTGGGGGATAAAGATGAAATACTATAGTATATATATTCGGGAAGTGTGATAGTGAGTATGTTTGTATATACATATACGTGTGTATGTATATATATGTGTAGATATAGGTATGTATTACTATTAAATAAGCGAAATGGGCAAATCAGACTGCCGTTCGAGAGTTAGGGTCCTTAATATGATCGAAATTAATTTAGTAATTGTTAATACTGTACCAGGCAATGGGACACGTACATAGCGACATACCTGCTGTCGAATTCGCCAGTCCGCTTAACGCTGAAACACAGAGAAACACGTTCACGATATTATTAGTAAAGCGACGTTAGTTACGAAGGTAACAAAATTATCCGAGAAATATACTACTTGGAAAATGATCTCTCGTTAGGGTTCGAGATCGCCATATATTCGATACTTTTTGTTGAAGTGAAAACTTCTTTAGAATCAAGGTGATTTGAAAATCGTGAAATGGAAGAAAGTGAAACCGATGAAACAAAAGTAATTAATTAATTAATAAAATTCAATATATAATTTAATTCTATATTATTTAATCTTATATATTAATTAATTAATTAATAAAATTCTATATATAAAAAATTTCAGTGTCACAATATGTTTATCCACTAATATAATTTCGAAACTACTCAACTTATCTTCATGAAATTAATTTTATTTCACGTGATTTTTTCCAATTTAACATATAGCACAATTTTTATCGCGATTTTTTTAAAAATTATTTTTTATTACTAATTTAAAGATTTTTATTTAGAGGTTATCTAGGTTCTGTAAGGTTCTTCCAATAGATGGCGTTGTATTACAATTCAATTGTTTCGATATATTCACGTCTCGAAGCTTGGTTTTCTTTGAAGGTTTCACTTCTACCGTGTGTGATCTGCACACATCTATTTTTTTTATAGAAATTTCATTTTCACATTTTTTCTTTTTACAACATCGAACACTCTCGATTAATCAATGTTTTCATCGATTTTATGCTAATTTACATTGGTAACATGTATATTTGTACGTACATATTACTATGCACACCAAATTCAGATACGTTAACTACTAAAGTATACAACAAACGAATACGTGAGGGGTGAAGGGTTAAAATATAACATTAATACATATAAAACGTTACAAGGGTATTTGCTGTTCACTCACACTCCGCCATTTTGAACTTTGAGTTTCCATGCATACCTATATTAAAGCTTAAACAGTTCACTATACTCTCTTTCTCTTTCTCTCTCCTGGAATTATAATAATGCATGCGATCATTAACGATTAACGAAGTTTAAGCGATTTCTTTTATTTTCTTTTTTCTTTCTCGCGAAACATTCTCTACAATCAACAAATGTGTAATCATTTATAAGAAGCGTGATAATTATTTAGCGCGTACCACCTTTGACGGCCTGTATTCTCCATTTTTTTTTTTTTTATTTGACACATATTTTCTTATCATGTTTCATTACGTTTTATATTTTTCTTTATTACTTTTATCTTTCGAGAGTAAAAGAGAATACATACATACAATCGTCGACATTGCACGGGAAAACAAATTACAATGGATAACATTATCCAATCTCTTTTTTTTTTTATTTCTAATGGGTAATAAAAATTTGTGTAATAAAGCACACGTGATAGATCTCACGTAATATGCCAGTATACTCACTCGTTGGCGACACTTGAAGGTTGCCATTTCCGCCAGTCATGGCTGCCAAAGTGACAAGGTTTTGCATACTCATCGGTGATACTCCAGCGTTTGCTGAAATTTGGAAAAAGAATTTTCTGTTAAAGTTTCAACGAAATAAAAAAACAATGTAAAAACATGAGAAAGGATAAATCGTAAAAAAAAAAAAAAATAATAAAATGAAAATTAATTGAAAGAAAAAAATGTTGTGTGTTAGATAAATATGATGATGAGGAAACAAAAAATGGTTGCAATAAGTATAAGTGCACGTATACGTAAGTAATACAATGTCAAAAGTGTTGGTTTCGTAACAAACAGAAGAACGTTTTTTTTCCCTGTGTATTCTAACGATACGTCATAGAATGACCATCGGGTTTTTTTGTTAAGTAGCAATATAGCGTGTACGATAAACACGTATATCAAACTACTTTAATAATTACATTTTACGTGGCGTTCAAGTCGAGTAATAGACTTTGGCACGATTCCCAAGAGTATGAAATGTTGAATCTTATTATTACAAAGACAGGTACCGCCATTTGGATTCTTTGCATACTTTTGTCATATGACTTTTGAAATATCTACGATGACTGGTAATAAAATTCGAATGTTAAAGAGATGGATAAGATATGGGACAAATGAAAGATCTCGTTTTATATCTCGCATCTAATGAAGAAAAAATAATATAATAATAATAAAATAAAATGATGATGGACACTGACCATACTCACCAGCGGAGTTACCGAGGGACGCTAATGTTGCCAGACCCTGGAGATTGGCAGGGCTAATCTCTGGTGGACTTGGTACGGCAGGTGGGGCCGCGTGTGCGGGGGTGGCTGCACCTAAGCCAAGGTGCTGCTGTAACAACAGCTGATGCTGAACACTCGAGAGAGCGTTAGCTCCGGCGCCTGCAGCTACCGGGGTGGCCGCACTCGTCGTCGCTTGCAACTGTTGCAATAATTGCAACGACGTAGGTGCTAACGTATGCGCGTCACTCTGAAATAAAAAAATGCGAGTAGAAAAACACGTTTATTTAAGATCGTTTTATATTTTATAGGCGACTATTTTGTTTGTTGTTTCCGATTAGTATAATATAAATGTTCGAACAATCAATCTCAGGATCAAGGTTAAATCAATTATTTTTTTTGTTTGCTTTTCTTATTATTCGAGTTACACGAGCATTTAAATATATATCCATGTTTTTCATTCTAATTTGTAACAAATCTGCATAGTTGCATATGCAAATTGACGATGTACACGTAAGATGAAAAAGTAAAAGAGAAATCTTTCGCGAAACTTTATGAAATATTTTAGTTCGTCGATCGCGAATTTATGGAAAACTTATTTCGCTTCTCGATGCAAATGGAATCGTTGATTTGAAGGGAAAAAGAGGTTCATCGTTAAATATTTAAAGATATACGGACCGTCGTCAGGTAATGCGGCGCCATGTTGACTCCCGCGATATTCCAGAGATTCGCTTGAATTTGTTGCATTCTTTTTTGATCCTTTTCCTTCTGCGTGTCAGCGAATTTCACAACCAGCGGCGATGAGCATCCCTGAAAAAGCATGGAAAATTTGTGTAACATGGAAAAATTTAGATGAACGATACGGCTTATGAGAATATGAAATTCATAGGAAATTATTATTCCTTTTATTTTGTTGTATTTTTTATTTCTTTTTTCAATTTCGGATTTCAATCGTCGGTTTTCAATTTTCATCGTCACGCAAAGGAACGACGACAATTTCGAGAAGTATTTTCAAGTTCAAGTTCAAACGTAACGCGGTGGTCTCTTTTAATCTTTAGAGTGCTACGGACGCATATATGCGTTTTGTAAAAATTACCAGACTGGTCTATCGACGCATATACGTGTTTCTTAATACTAATGTAAAATAATGTAATGTTTATATTAATTAAATAAATTATATTCACAGAAACAAAAACTTTAATTATTAAATATAATTTATTATTAGAATCTAGTTAATAAAAAATTATTCCATTCCTATAAAACATTTTAGTTAAAAGTATTCAGCACTCAAAGGGTTAAGGAGAAAAAGGGATTATATTTTTGGTGATACGAATGATCAATGAAACGTAATGTTTAATCTATCGTAAAAACCACGATCGGTCAAAGTGTATTAAAATCCAACGAATTAAACCGGATGATCGGGAGAAAAAAGTTGAGGGCGAAGTTCGAGAAACTCGGTTTCTGGAAATATTCATGATATTAAAATGGGAATTGCCGTAGGTGCTCGCATGCCTTGGCACGAATCGCTTTTACTATTCGAAATAGCACGTGACATAGGCGTAACGATAGCATTCAGTAGACGATGTCTAACGAAACAATTCCGTGGAGTGTGCGGAATGCATTTTGCTCTACTCGTTTAAGCCTGAACCAATTCCTTTTAAGTATCTGACATTATTTTTCACTTTAACGATCCTTACCAGCAATAATCTCTGAAAAAACATTATAGAAGAAAACCAAACTTTTTGTTAGGAAACATTTCTCTTAGGATGCATTCTAATTCTTTGGAGCATGATGGGATTAAAAGTGTCCCACCTTTTTGATGCACATGTAACTCACACAAGGTGGGACATTTTTAATTCCACCTTGAAATATTATTGCAATATTTATATCCTCATAAGTTTATATTTTGTCTTATTTATGCAAATCAATTGGTTATTATACTCTTTCTTATTTATACGTTTTTACATTGTGTATTAATATTTCTATAAATAAAAATATACAAATTTTGTTTTTCATTTAAAACTCAAAAAAATTATTAAAATTATTAATAAATATAAATATTATTATATTTTTATTAACAATTTTATTAATTAATATTATTTTATATTATTAATATTATATATATTATTTTATTAATAAGAATATATACCGATTTTGTTTTTCATTAAAAAACTCAATATAATTACTATGCAACATAGGCTTATTTAATTATTTAAAATCCTGTATTGCAAAGAATTAAAAAGAAGTATCCTTCAAGAAAAAAAGAAAGACCAATACAACCCCTCACATATGCGATTCTTATTGGTACGAAAAAAGAAACATTTGAAAAAAAAAAAGAATCCAAAAAGCACCGAATCTACTGATTAATTCAAACAATCGAGGTCATCTAGGTACGAAGAAAATCTCGTATAACTTTTGTAGATAGAAAGAAGAGGTATTCCATATATGCATGTGGGGGGAAGGGAGGGAAGGGGTTTCATTAAAGTTTTCCGAGACAACGTGTGTGTTTTGCTATTCCCTTTCTCGATATGGAATACTAATGACCATGTTTCGTAGCAAATACCGTCGTTCAAAAAAAAAAAAAAAATAAAAAGAAAAACAAACGACCTTATTTTCTTACAGACTAAAGGTAACACACAAACGTGTATATATTTTCTTCAAGGAGATCTTGTAAAAGTAATTCTATTTTTTTTTCTTTTTCCTAGATACCACCACTTTACACCTGTAATATAATCGAATAAATAGAATCCTATTAAAAGGAACGGTTTAAAGAAATGAATAAACATGCACAGTTGGCATAATCTTTTATACCTGTCTAGTGGTGGTGAGGTGGTAAAAAGGAATGAACGGGTTGACCGAATGATGACGTAGTAGGGGTTCGTGTAATCAATCCAATCTAGTCGTAAAAGGCTTGCTAAAGAAGAAGACGAGAAAAGAAAAGGCGGAAAAGTCACAGGACACATGATGATGATGATGATGATGGCGAGTTTCGAATCGCAAAGGTGTCTCGACGACTAGTTAGAAGAATATCTCTTTCCTATTTTTTCCTCGCGCACGGTTTTGGTTACCCCGAGTTAAATCGGTATATCACTGTGTGTATGTGTATGTGTGTGTGTGTGTGAGAGAGAGAGAGAGAGAGAGAGAGAAAAGAGGTGACTAGCCGGGGTTGTGCCGGTGACTATGCGAGGACGTTGTTCCTACGAATGATAATGGCAACGAGCCAATGTCCGTCAAGCTTGCTGAATCGTTGTTAAAAGAAACGAAAAGAGAGCCGCTAAGTCTTCCGAGTTACCACTTTATAGTAACCATAAGTTATCTATGTAACGTGTATTCAGTCACACTCCCCCCCCCCCGCCACCCTGTCTCCTTTACCGTCTTTACCCCATTTTTCATCCTAACGTCACACATATATATTTTTCTTTCAATATTAAACCGCGTAGATTTTATTCGGTTAAGTTCTTGTAAAATGGATCGGTCTAAAGATTTGGCTGATTCGTTGAAGAATCACCTCAGCCGGTTAGGGGTCATAAAAGTTGGAATATTTAGACGTTTGTCTAGTTTAATTTATAGAGAATTTACACAAGCTTTTTTGGTATATATAATAAATCTATCTACGTTAAATATTTGCTTCCTTTTTTTTCCAAACCGTAACAGTTTATATAGTATTTTGATGCTTGAAATACGACGTAGAAAGAATCAAAGCAAAAGTTAACTTGGTAAGAAAGTTAGCTTGTTGTTATCACGCTTGATTCTCGTTAATTCTTTGAAAGACGTCAAACGAGTGAGAAAAATGTGATCAAGAGAAAGAAAAAGAGAGAGAGAGAGAGAGAGAGAGAGAGAACTTTAAGAACAACCACTTGACTTACCTCCATCGTTTGCGAATGATGAAGGGCCTTAATGGCGTTGATAGCATATTGTTTACTAGCGAAAGTAACGAAGGCACAGCCTTTACTTTGTCCGGAATTGTCTCGTAACACCGAACACTCCTCGATCGTTCCGTAAACGCTGAACATGGTTCTGACATCATTTTCCGTGTATTTTTTCGATAGCATGCCAACGAACAATTTGCGTTCTGAAACAAAAATATAAATCACCATATTTTAATATATTTGAATGTGCTACAGAATATAATAATTTTAATGTGATATATTAATATTTATTATATGATACATAATAATATATTTAAATGATAATAATATAATATTATTAAATATATATATATATATATTAATATAATAATATTAAATGATAATAAAATATATTAATATTTACAAATATATAAATATTTATATATTATATATTAATATTATAAATATTTAATTTATAATACATATAATTATTATAAATTTATTTTTTATCATTATAATTTATAATAAATTTAATTTATAATTATATATTAATATTATAAACAATTATTATTAATATATTAATATTTATTAATATATTAGAATATATATAATCTTTATAATATTATAATATTATATAATCATTAAAATCTTTTGTCCCAAGCCCCAGATAAAGAAGGGGTCGGTTCATTAGACTAGTTTAGCAACCTATTTAAAACACCTCAAACCTAACCTAAAAGAAAACAAATAATCGCTCTCAGAACTAACAAAATAGCTAACAGGCTATTTAATTAGGGATAACAGTACGAAATCCTAAGAAGAAGAAAAGAAGAATTTAAAATCTTTTGTTAACCCTTTACCTGCTATGGACATCACACATACATAGGTTTATTAATATGGAATGTAATATCATATAATGTTTATATTTATCATATGAAAATTATATTTAAAAAAGACAAATTGTAATTATTAAAAATAATTTATTAACAGATCTGATGTTTAATATAAAATCAATAAATGTAAACACAGTCCTATAAATTTAATACATTGTATTTCATTTCTACGAAACATTTCAGTTTAAAAATATTCAGTACACAAAGGGGGTTGAAATACATGGTCCATCTTCTTGATGATTGTTTTTCACCCTTTCATTTTCTTTTTTTCGCTTCTCGCCTTCGTAAGCGTTTAACGCGTAATATGCCTGGTCAGCTATGGACCACTTGACGACGACGTCGCTGAACTGAGGAGAGTATGAGAATGCGAGAATGAGTAGGAGGAGGAGGAGGAGGAGGAGGGGGAAGGGGTTAGGTAGACGGGGTTAGACCGGTCAATATTTGTTTAGAACCGGGAGAAAAGCTGGTGCCTCGGGTAAAGCCGCTTATGTAAATTCACCCTAGCCAGGGGTTCCCCGTATAGTGACGCAACGTACTCGACCGCGACTACTGAATATCTCTATCTGGGTTCTAACCACCCCTCCTCCCCCTGCGTGTATTTTCCATGGAACAGATGCACACACCATACTCTTTGTAAAGAACGTCTTCCGGTTGGTTAAAATATCCTTCCGTAAGTTGCATTGCGTTGCGTTGCGTTGCGTTGCATTGCGATTTTATTATTGCAAAGTACAAAGTAGACTTCGTATACTTTTTTCCTTCTTTTTTTATTTCGTGTTGAATATCGAAATTTGTCAGGGGGGTTGGGGGATAAAAAAGAAGTGGGAACAGACGCGTTGAAGGTTGTTCGTAGAAAATATTCTCTCGAGCTTCTTAAAGATTAAACGAACCATTTCGATTAGCATTTCGATTAGGCACACGTTAAAAATACTTTTTTCGTAGTAGAGAAAAATTTGGGTTTTTTCCACTCTTCGTAAGGTAATTCCTCGTCTAAACTACGAGTATTAGTAGTAGTAGTAGTAGTAATAGTAATGGTGGTAGTAGGAATCAACCAACAGGCAAAAGTGGAGCATCGCGTGCTCATATACTATATCGCAAAGGCGAAACCTAGACACACTCGCGTTGAATATCCCCCAAGCTTAATCGGCTTCATTAATAAAGCTGAACATAATCGGCAACGTGAGTTCGGCTGCTTGCGTTGATCTCAAACCGCAGGGACGAGAACTATACTAGCAAACTCGTCCACGATTAACGGTTTTCCTAATTAATTTCGTAGCTACGGTAGAATGTTCGGTTGATGATTACTCGTGGTTTGCATCGGAGTACGATCGAATTTCATGGCAACTAGTAGTAAGCAAGCAAGGAAGAGTTACTTTGGAATATCCAAAGGATTTGGAAACTTTCCCTTCCTGGTCCTGCTGCTGCTACTGGTACTGGTGTTGGTGCTTCTCCTTGGTCTTTCATAAAAAAAAAAAATGCCATTGCTTTTGTATCCCATCCCTATAACTGTTACCCTTCACTACTACTTTCCCTTCATTTCTTCTCTCCTACTCTAAGGCCGATCATTTTCCTTCGTTTACCTACCCTCTTTTTCGTTCGACGCTTTTGCCTTTAGCTTACGGCGAAATTGCGGCTTTTACGGAATGTTTATTAAATGCTGAAGCCGTTCGATTTTCCTATCTTTCTCTTTCTCTTTCTCTTTCTCTCTGTCTTTTTCTTGCTCCTTCATCCTTTCAACAGAAATTTTCCATCCATCTTGAAAGGAGAAAAGCCGCGTCCCTTTTATAAACTGATAATCGATTTTGATACTAAAGAAGCAGTTGGCCGCGGTTTTCTGTAACGTCGATATCAATTTTATTAACCTAACAAAAAGCGTTAAAGTATCTTTTAGACCGGATAAGAGAGTTTTGTACAATTTATTCCTATAGAAATTATAATTTAAATTAAACAAAAGTGTATATATATATATATATATATTTTTTTTATCTAACAACGAGATCATTTTAGTTAATTTTAATTAAATAATCAATACAACAATATGGCTTGCTTATGTTAGTGTAATTTGTTTCGATCGTTCGAAAAACCCCTTTTAATATTGTTTTTTTGTTTTTTTCGTCTATGCAGTAACTGTGCCGTTGTATCCTAGGTATACGATTATTTCGCTAATTAATTAGCAACTCGTTCTATCCTTTTGGGAATAAAGAAAGAGAGGAAAAGAGGTTTAAACTTTTAAGCGAAGTGCTTTACGCAAAGAATCGATCCTCTTAGTCTCGGGTGCACAACGATTGTATTCTTATTCTTTTTTTTTTTTCTTCTTCTTTCCATTTTATTTTCTTTCATTTTCTTTTTTTTTTATTTTAACTCTTTTATTTTTCATGGAAGAGCGCGGCATCGAGGAAAAGGAGAGACGCGGGCGCGCGAATGAACCGGTGCTTTTACGAGTCAGAAAAAAAGAGCAGTACGAGATTAGGTTCGTGCATGCAAATGCGAGACCGAAGAGAGAGAGAGAGAAAGTAAGAGAGTAAAAGAGTAAGAGAGAGAGAGAGAGAGACAGAAATATACGGAGCAAAAAAAGGAGAGGGAAGGAAAAGAAGGGTGGCGAAGAGAGGAAGGTGGAATTTCATTGGAAGGCGTTCGATGCACTTTTCTAACGCAAAGGATACCTCCCTTTGATATCTACACAACCCCCCCCCATCCTCCCATCCCTCCCCCTACCCCCTTTTCCTTCCACTCTTTTTCCTCCTTTTTTTTTTCCTATGAAAACCTCGGGCTTTTGCATATTTCTTCTTTAAACTACGAAACTAGAGTTTCTCGTTTTAGAACACACGTACTTACGTTAGACTTATATATATATATATATATGTGCATGCATATGTATTATTGTCTTACACCAATTTTTTCTATCGTTCTCATGGATTTTTCTTTCTTTTCTTTTTTTGTTATTGGAATATTTTACGTTTAAGTATCGCTTACGCGTGCTTTTTTCCTTGATTTTTCGAGAAAGCGATTTTTGAACAGCATCATCTTTGTAGGATTTTTAATGAATATTAACGAAGGGGGATGGTGTGGAATTGGTTAAAAAAAAAAAAAAAAAAAAAAAAAATAAAAGAAAAAAAATTGAAGTAAATACATAAAATCGTAACAACAGTTTTAAACGAATTAAATCAATTCACTTTTGAAAGAAATAATAAATGAAAGTTCAAGTAAAAGACATTAAATCTCTTTTTAATATTTAATACACATGTATTCAATATTTTGTTCTACTAGGGTCATTCGTAAAGTATTTTTTTTTTTTTTTTAATAATATAAATAAAAGAAGATTATTTTTCATAGATTTAGAATTCAAGATGTTTTGTATGATTGTCACATCGACGATTGAATTATGATAAATTCATTGTACTATATTCAATTATTTCTCGCGTAATCTACGATGAGAGAGAAAAGTGGGTCACACGATTTGAAATAATCGAAGTTAATTCTATTAATTGACCGTATTAATTCTTCTTAATATTAATTCTTCTTAAACGTGTCACAGAAAGATCGAATTATAATTCATGGTCTTGAAACAAAACAAAAAAAAAACAAAAAACAAATGAAAAGAAATAATTGCTAATTAATAAAGATCATCTCGTAGCAGTGTGGTATGGTGATGTTCTTTTTTCTATAGTGAAAGATCGAGGTCAGAAAATTGTCAGAACTTACAAAGTAGATTAGATTTACATCAGTCCTTGTTTCGTATTCATCTGGTTGGTACAGTAGAAGATCTGCTGATGCTGCTGTTAAGAGAGGAAATATTCTTGCTCTCTTAACCACTTCCTAGACTCACTTGCGCGTAGTGGTCCTGCGCGAGAATGGAAATTAACCCTTGTTAATTCAATTCCTACCTTGACTACGTTCAACCTTAACTGAATTTTGGATACAGCCACCTCAAGTATTTCCTGGTGGAAGCTTTGTTATATCCTACAGTACACCCCCATCCCCCTATCATCAACTTCTCGTACCTGGATTCTCTTGCACCTCGGTAGCACGTTAATATTCTTGTATATCCGCATTTAATCGTTCCACTTTATTCCCTTTCTTTCTTTCTTACTTGTTTTTTTAATTTATTTATATTTAACATCTTAGATTAAATTTAAAAATAGGCATTAAATATAACGCGCCACTATAATGGCTTTCACGGATGTCATCTTTCCGAACGATGCTCCACTATAGTCGCTTTTGCAGATGCCACCTTCTAGTACTATGCGCCATTATAGTGGCTTTCATGAATGCCATCTTCCGGTACGATGCGCCACTATAATGGCTTTCGCGGATAAAATTTTTTAAAATATATAATA